TTACTGTTGTCAGGTATCAAATTGGTCAAAAATAGGGACACCGGGGATATTTCTCGTATAAAACTGGGACAAATCAGTGGTTTTGGATAAATCTGCTGGGACAGGGGACACAGGGATCAAAACTGGGCCTGTCCCGTGGAAATAGGAACAATTTTGACTGGATTTTAATTTTGACGGCGGATTTTGATAAAGAATTTGGCTGATTTTAAGTTATTATTTTGATTTCTTCATTTTTCTAGCTGTTTGTGTGCATTTGTGTATTTGGTTTGCTCAAAGTTGGGATGGAAACTCCAATGAAATGTGCTAAAAAATTAGTTTCAGCCATTTCAGCAGGTTTCACACGTAAAGAAAAGTACTTTTTACTTTTCAGTCCAGATCTCAAATGTAGTGGAGTAGAAAGTACTGCTACAGGATTTAAAATGTGAAGCGAAAATAAAAAGTATCCACTGTAAAATGTACTTAAGTAAAGTACAAATGCAGACTTTTACTTTTGTACTTCGTTCCCTTCCACCACTGCTTAAAGGTGCGTTGTGAAACTTTTCTGGAGGGTCCCTTATCTGCTTGTTTGTTTGCATAGAGATGTTATTGCTTTGCCTGGAATATTCCACAGTGATTCCACATCTCCATGGAAACAAACAGACGGCACCACAATAAGGCCAAGTTACGGGTCAGATCTGTGTAGAGACGACCCTGCTCACAGTTACAATTAGTTTAGTTTTTCCGAGGGATTTTTAGAGAAATAAAACCAGCCGTCGTGGAATAAACGCAAGATAAACTATTTTAATGCAATACTGTGGAGCATTGTAAACAAAGCATAACATCTCCATGGCGACCAGTAGGCGACGAACCCTCCTCCCGAAAACTTACACAATGCACGTTTAGGAAAGAGCAGACTTACTGTAACTTCAAAAATAATATCACTCCAGTAAAGTGAAGTACAAACTATCTTAATATCTGATTTGTAAGTAAATGTAATTTTAAAGCCACAGTATGTAACATTTAGCCCCCAAAATAGACATAATAAAAACATAAAAACACTTTTTTTGCTTTGTTATGTTATTTATTTTGTTAGTGTTTATTGCACTGAAAAACTTGCATCCGTTACTGTGAGTGAGCTTGCTTCTCCATAAACCTGACTCGTAGTTGGTCTCCTCCTGCTTGTTTCCATGGATACGTTCCTTTGACAATATTATCTTGCACCGTATGGCATAAAACATGTTTCTCTCCCTCCATGGAGAATGTTCCAAAGTGTGGTTTTAACTTTCTGTTTTCATAATAAACAGTGTTGGGAAGGTAACTTTTAAAATGTATTCCCCTACAGATTACAGATTACATACTCCAAAATGTAGTGTGTAACAGAATCCATTGAGGTACTTAAAGTGAGTAACGTAATCTGAATACTTTGGATTACTTGATTTGCTGTAGAGAAGCAAAGACTAAGATATTTTCGCATAAGAAGTTTTTGTCTGCTGAAAGACAATAAAAAGCCCAGATTTTCCTTAACCGTATTAAAAATATTATTGATAGAAGAAGAGGAGACACGGTCCGCGTGGCATGGTTTAGTCCTGTTCAGTCCTGGTTTAGACCTGGTTTAGTCCTGTTCAATCCTGGTTTAGACCTGGTTTAGTCCTGTTCAATCCTGGTTTAGACCTGGTTTAGTCCTGGTTTTAGTCCTGGTTTACTCCTGGTTTAGTCCTGGTTTAGAGCTAGTTTAGACCTGGTTTAGTCCTGGTTTAGTCCCAGTTTAGACCTGGTTTAGACCTAGTTTAGTCCTGGTTTAGTCCCAGTTTAGACCTGGTTTAGACCTAGTTTAGTCCTGGTTTAGTCCTGGTTTAGAGCTAGTTTAGACCTAGTTTTTACCTGGTTTAATCCTGGTTTAGTCCTGTTTAGTCCTGTTTTAGTCCTGTTTTAGTCCTGGTTTAGACCTGGTTTAGACCTGGTTTAGTCCCAGTTTAGACCTGGTTTAGTCCCAGTTTAGACCTGGTTTAGAGCTAGTTTAGTCCGGGTTTAGTCCTGGTTTAGTTCTGGTTTAGAGCTAGTTTAGACCTGGTTTAGTCCTGGTTTAATCTTGGTTTAGACCTGGTTTATATGTGGTTTTAGACCTGGTTTAGTCCAGGTTTAGACCTGGTTTAGTGGTTTAGTGGCAATGAATGGAATTACAGAAAAAATTGTGGGGGATATAGCCCAAAATGTAAAAACAGGAAAATACCACCGTGTAATCCATTTATTTCAACAAAGTAACTGTAATCCAATTACCACTCACTGAAACAGTAACTGTAACTGAATACAGTGACTCATAATTCGTACTCTGATTACGTAACTCCGGTTCATGTAATCTGTTACTCCCCAACAATGATAATAGAATAATGTCATGATTACCGGGTCTAAGGAGGATCAAAAGTTAAGCTCTCCCTCCTTTTATTTAAATGAGAATCGGCTGGCAAATGTAACAAAAACAAAATACTTGGGCCATATTATTAGAAATGACTCCTGTGATGATGATGATGATGATGACATCCAGCATCAGTGTTGCAAACTGTATTCACAAGTGAATATGCTGGCACGCAAATTCCACATGTGTACAAATGATGTCAAAACAACTCTTTTTAGATCATACTGTGCCCCACTGTACACAGCTCACCTATTACAGCAAAGCAAAGATGAATAAACTCAAGGTGGCGTATAATGATGCTCTCAGAATTCTGCTAAAGACTCCAAGGAGGGAAAGTGCTAGTGCTTTGTTTGTGACTGCAAATATTCTCACATTCCAGGCTCTAATGAGGAACCTCATGTATAAATTTATGTGTAACTTAAATGAATCAAGAAATGGAATTATAACATGCTTGACTGATATTAAGGAAAGTGACACCCAATATTATTCTGGCATCTGGAAATATTGGAAGAGCCAGCTGTATGTTTTTGTTTTTATTTGTATTTTATTGTCTCTTCACAATGTGTTTTTACATGATAATTAGGACAATCAAAGTAATTTACAAATTGTCCATATTAAGTCAAATATGGATGTCCAATGTCCATAGTTAGGCATTTCCACATTTCTCATTTCTACTTACACAAACTGTAATGTAACTTTCATAAGAACAGGTAATTTATATTAAAAAATAAATAAATAAATAACATTGTAGCTTTAAACCGGGGTGTAAGTTCAGTCTCATACAGGTTCTACACAAAGTCAGATCTATATTGTTTAATATAATGTAACCATCCTTTCCAAATTGTCTTAAATTCATGACCTTCCAATCTAAGTGAGGTGGTGAGAGTTTCCATTTTATAAATACTTAATATTATATCAAACCACTCTTCTATTTTAGGCCTCTGATCACTTCGCCATCTCCTGGGAATTGCTTTTTTACTAGCCAACAACATCATTCTTAACATTTTATAATCTTCTCATCTTTTTAAATTCAGAATATCAATTATACCCTGACACATCATTTCAAAAGTCATTGGAACATTGATTTTAAAGACCTCATCAATCACTTTTTTCAGCTGTATGTATTTTAACTATATGGACCTTGCATCACTGTAGTTTTGTGTGTGTGTGTGTGTGTGTGTGTGTGTATAAATACACGTACAGCACCACCTCCAGAAAGTTATGCACTGTAACTTTAAACACATAAAAAAAAAAAAAACTACTAAAATCTGAAAAATGTAATAAAACAATCTAATCTGAATATTGTTAACATGAAGCTTTTGTCACTTGTAAATTTATTAAGAAAAGGCTACTGTTGATACTATGAAATGTATTAGGTCTAGTAGTAAAAGTTATGTGTTTGAAAACTACCCCCAAAAGTACTATTTTATTAAAAGTTACCCAAGTCACTTTAGTACTCGAGTAAATGTAGTACTGTCAACTATGGTCTTATTCGTATGTGTCTGCTTAACGTAGAAAACTGCACTTTCCTCTGGCCAAGAAACACATTTTACTTAGGGGTCATGTGCCTGTCAGACAAACAAATGGGTAAAATTAGCACAGTCACGATAATGTTCCACTTTTTCATCTTAAACTGAATAAAGGTCACTACTTTTCCAGTGCGTTTAGACTTGGTGCTCGGTCTCTGTCTGTAAGTCCCGGGCTGGCCATAGATCTAAAACAAACCTGGATCTGTTCAAGTTTGTGCCGTCTCCATGGAAACGCCCTGGCACCGGAAGAGACGGGGCCAAGGCCGAGGTGCGTTCATGAACCTGGGAAAAATGAAACTATCTTTGAAAATAAAGTAAAACTGAAAACGTTTAAACTTGAACAACCCTATAATTTAACAATAAACAAACATGCCCTCAAGTAGTTTGCTTTTAACTACTACTACTACTACTATCACCACCACCACCACTACTACTACTACTACTATTACTTTTACTTCTACTACTACTGTTACTACTACTACTATTACTACTACTACTACTGCTGCTACTGTTACTACTACTACTACTGCTACTACTACTACTACTACTGTTACTACTACTGTTACTACTACTACTACTACTACTACTACTACTACTACTACTACTACTACTCGGTATAAATTAAAGAGGTAAAATAAGTCATCGGCAATATTTGGAAACTTGTCAATATCAATAACATTTTTACAAATCGTTTACCTTGACAACAATTTAGACTCTTATTTGGGTAATTTAAAAGTTATATAAATTGTATATATTGTTTTATTTTTACACTTATTCAGTATAAAAGTCAAATAGATAACATGGCAAAATTTGGAACCCATATCAATAGTGTAAAATTATACAAAATTCAAACTCCATATAAGCTATCTGTTGTGTTTGTGTTTTTTTTTATCAGAAGATTAATTAGAGGTAAAAACTGCTTAATCACAATGATGTGTTCATAAATATAAACAAGACTCTTATGTGGGTAATTTAATATGTGTTTAATATTTTGATTGTGTACAAAAGTAGATTATAATATACGTCGCAACCTGGCAAAACTTGGAACACATTTAAATAGTGTAAGTGTGTATACAAATCTCTGAAATCGCTCAAATTGAAAATCAGACCATTGTACTGCGGGTTGTCTGTGTGACCAACAGGTGGCGTCCAGCCCACCGCCACTGCGTTCAGGTGCCGTCCTACTTTACCTGAAGCCAAAACTTCCCCAGGTTCCGTGAAGGCAGCAGGAGGGCAGAGTTTGTGGAGTTTGACCGAGTCCTTTCAAAGCAACCAACACGACACACACGCAACACAAAGAGCAGCGAGAAGGGACCCAGCCCAGGGAGGAACCGTTGGAACCGAAAATCCCCGAACAGGAACCGACAGCGGCTGTAACCGAACCACCCGAACCATGCCCGCCACAGAGAAGGACCTGGCCGAGGACGCGCCGTGGAAGAAGATCCAACAGAACACGTTCACGCGCTGGATCAACGAGCACCTGAAATGCGTGAACAAGCGCGTGGCCGACCTGCAGCTGGACCTCGGGGACGGACTGCGGCTCGTGGCTCTGCTCGAGGTCCTGAGCCAAAAGAAAATGTACCGCAAATACCACGCGCGCCCCACGTTCAGGCAGATGAAGCTGGAGAACGTGTCCGTGGCGCTGGAGTTTCTGGAGCGAGAAAATATCAAGCTGGTGTCGATAGGTCAGTCCCGTTCATTCATATTTTAAAAATTATGGGGGTAAACTTGTGCGTAAACGTGCGTAAAAGTGCGTAAACGCGTACAGATTGCATGCAAACTTGAAATGGTACGAAATTTTCCTGGCTTCATCCTTGACTGCGTTTACTTTTGCAAAATCACTACATCCAAAAGTGGTTCTAAACTGGAATTAAATGTTGAACTAAACCAGAACTAGAACAGGGCCCAACCGAATCGAATCTAACAGGACCAAATGTGAACGCGACCCAGAGACCGCTTCGTTGGTCCTGGACTAGGGTCAGGTGGAAGTAACGCCCAGATTTGATGCTGCTGCTGAGTGACTAACGCATTGTTTAATCCTGGTCGAATCCTGGTTGAATCCTGGTCTAATCCTGGTCTAATCCTGGTCGAGTCCAGGTTTAGTCCTGATTTAATCCAATGTGATTTCCTCTAAGAAGTTATATCTGTGTGGGTGAATTAAAACACTCCCAAGTTCGATTCTTAGGAGTCCCCATAGGTCCGAAATAGACTGCGTGCGTTTTAATGAAGACTAAGATAATTGTTTTTGAGTTTTACTGAAAAAATTACTGTTCTTTTGCATCTTTATTAACCAGAAAATACAAATATTTACTTTATCAGCCAGTAGCTTTTCAGGTAGGAGAAGGATGTGGGAGTCGTAACTTTGACTTAAGAAAAACAACAACACAAGATAAGATATGAGATGAAAATTGAGATACAAAACAAAATGATCCTTATGTTTCAGAGACCATTTGTTTCGTGCGGACTGAACAGCGAGAAGAGTTGAAATTACTCTAAATTGTTTAAATAAAGCCTACGTGATTTAAACAAATTGAGTGTGGAGTTACTGACCACACATGGAAGCGTAACTTGTTTCACAGAGGCAGGTCATTTTAAGGTGCTCATTGTTGCTTTTAATATAATTTTGTCTGAAATATTCCATAGTAGGACATTAATAATAATAAATAATAATATATCTATCACGCGTTTATCCATTTACGAGTCAGAAAATACGTATTCTTACTCCCCACACCTGTAACTTTGTCTGGTGATCCCGTTCCAATCGCCAAGGAAGTAGACAGTGTTGGGAAGGTTACTTTTAAAATGTAATCCCCTACAGATTACAGATTACATACCCCAAAATGTAGTTTGTAACGCAATCCATTATATTACTTAAAGTGAGTAACGTAGTCTGAATACTTTGGATTACTTAGTATTGTCATGTTTTTTAAAAATACATGAATGTAGCAACCACATCCTGAAAATTCTTTGTTTTCTTTGTTCTCTTCAAATTGGCCCTGGTTTAGTCCTGGTTTAGTCCTGGTTTAGTCCTGGTTTAGTCCTGGTTTAGTCCTGGTTTAGTCCTGGTTTTAGTCCTGGGTTTAGACCTGGTTTAGACCTGGTTTAGACCTGGTTTAGACCTGGTTTAGACTTGGTTTAGACCTGGTTTAGACCTGGTTTAGACCTGGTTTAGTACTGGTTTAGTCCTGGTTTAGTGCTGGTTTTAGTGCTGGTTTTAGTTCTGGGTTTAGTCCTGGGTTTAGACCTGGTTTAGACCTGGTTTAGCCCAAAATCTGAAAACAGGAAAATAACCGCCCTGTAATCCATTTATTTCAACAAAGTAAATGTAATCCAATTACCACTCACTGAAACAGTAACTGTAACTGAATACAGTTACTCATAATTTGTACTCTGATTACGTAACACCGATACATGTAATCTGTTACTCCCCAACACTGGAAGTAGATGGGTTTAATGCCATACTGTGGAACATCCCAAGCAAAGCAGTAACTTCTCTATTGAGGCGAGCAGGTGGCGGACACTCCAGTACGCCCCTAGTTGCGGGTACACTTAACACATTTTAATATGAAACAAAAACAATAACAAAAACTGATGCCTTATGAAATCACTCCTTTAAATTTTTGTGGCTGGTTTGTGGTTTACTGTGTCCTTTTTATTTTTATTTTTTTATGTCCATATTGTTGCTATGGTAAATGTTTAAGTTGTACTGTGACTTGTGTTGATACTTTGCATCTGATATCATCAAAAATCCCTGGAGTTGTGATGCTAACTGTAAGCACTGGTCTGTCTGAGGCATTTTTTAAAACACGATTCAAACCGGATCTCTATTTTTACACAATCTCACCACTAAGAACTGACTTAGTTGGAATTACACAGTTGAGATGATTCGCGCTGTTAAGCAAATAAAATTACAGTCGCAAGCTGTTTAGCATTAACCCACAGTTTTTACATCAGTCACTCTCACCTTTTTGTTGAAAATCAAACTCCTAAATATCGTATTGATCACAAGTTTTGTATTCTTTAAGTTTTTTGTTTTTTTTACACATGATCTTAAAACTTACTTGGTCGTGTTTGCTAATATGTGCATTGTGTCGCCATGGTAACATGTTGAGCACCCTCAGGAGGATATCACCGCAAGTATCGTATCTGTAATCACTTTTTTTTTTTTTTCTTCTTAATTTAATCAACACCTCAAAATCCTACGTACCGTGAAATGACTAGTGTCTGTAAAGCCCTATTCAAACAAACGCATCGCCTCAGACACGTCGTTCCCGTAGCCCATCATTATTTTGTTCCCCTGAATGCCCCATGGTTGCGTTTGAGTCTCATGGTTCGTGTTTGAGCAGTGAGCGATTGCGTAGGTGAGTGAGTGCGTACCTGTTTGGAGCAGAGCCAGAGACATGGGCTGGGTCTGAACCTTGTGTTATCAACAGGATCACACAAGACGCACAGGAAATGGCAAAGGGAGTTTCACTGTGTGGAAATGTATTGATTTAGCAAATGATTTTATGACAAGGATTGAGCAATATGTCAATCTGTCAGCATTAAAGGCGTTGTACCTGATTTTTTTCCTGTCTTTAAAGATCCTGTGTTGCGTAAAACTGACTCTTGTGAGATTTAAGACGTGTTATAATGTTGTTGCCTTCTCAAAAACAGACCTGGAGTTGTGTTTTGTTTCATTCACACACGAGTAATCCTTTATTATTAGTCTGGCTACATGTCTCAAGGTCAGAATGCTCTCTTCCACCTTGTGATGTCATAAAGCAGCTACCTTTTTTACCTTTAGTTCAGTAGAGATTAGCAATTCCAGGGCTGATAAAATGTAATAAACATAAATAAAATACAAAGTGGGAAAGATGTGAAAGTTGATTCTTATTTTGCGTTTACAATATATTAGTGTAACAATAACTTAAAACAGTTATTGTCGTTCTCATTATTCTCATCAGAAACCATTTATTTTTCACTCCTGCTTTGGTGCTGTTCTAGTCCTGCTGTAGTCCTGCTGTAGTCCTGCTGTAGTCCTGCTGTAGTCTGCTGTAGTCCTGTTGTAGTCCTGCTGTAGTCCTGCTGTAGTCCTGCTGTAGTCCTGCTGTAGTCCTGCTGTAGTCCTATTTTAGCCCTGCTGCAGTCCTGGTTTGGTCCTAGTTTAGTCCTGGTGTAGTCCTGGTGTAGTCCTGCTGTAGTCCTGGTTTAGTTCCTGTAGTCTGCTGTAGTCCTGCTGTAGTCCTGTTGTAGTCCTGGTGTAGTCCTGGTGTAGTCCTGGTTTAGTTCTGCTGTAGTCCTGGTATAGTCCTGTTGTAGTCCTGCTGTAGTCCTGGTTTAGTCCTGCTGTAATCCTGTTGTAGCCCTGCTATAGTCCTGATATAGTCCTGGTATAGTCCTGCTGTACTCCTGTTGTAGTCCTGTTGTAATCATTTTGTAGTCCTGTTGTAGTCCTGTTGTAATCCTATTGTAGTCCTGCTGTAGTTTTGCTGTAGTCCTGCTGTAGTCCTGGTTTAATCCTGGTTTAGTCCTGCTGTAGTCCTGTTTAATCCTGGTTTAGTCCTGCTGTAGTCCTGGTTTAATCCTGGTTTAGTCCTGCTGTAGCCCTGTTGTAGTCCTGCTGTAGTCCTGGTTTAATCCTGGTTTAGTCCTGCTGTAGTCCTGGTTTAATCCTGGTTTAGTCCTGCTGTAGCCCTGTTGTAGTCCTGCTGTAGTCTTGCTGTAGTCTGTTTAATCTGGTTTAGTCCTGCTGTAGCCCTGTTGTAGTCCTGCTGTAGTCCTGCTTTAGTCCTGTTAGTCCTGCTGTAGTCCTGCTGTAGTCCTGGTTTAATCCTGGTTTAATCCTGGTTTAATCCTGGTTTAGTCCTGCTGTAGTCCTGCTGTAGCCCTGTTGTAGTCCTGCTGTAGTCCTGTTGTAGTCTTGCTGTAGTTTGCTGTAGTCCTGTTTAGTCCTGCTGTAGTCCTGCTGTAGTCCTGCTGTAGTCCTGGTTTAATCCTGCTGTAGTCCTGCTTGGTTCTCTTGGTTTATTGACCCTGTAATCACCCTGCCCGGGGCACACTTTTACTCTCTTTATCTACTTTCATTATTTACTTATACTTTGCCCCGACAATAAATAATAAATATCATGATGTAATTTATTATACTCGAGTACATAATCTGCTTCAATATGCAGGGTTTGTGATGAGGAAACTACATAATAACATAGAAAATAACATAATATAGGACCTTTAAACTATTTCTTCTAGATGATAAAATATTCAAATTATATTGTAGCTTTATCTGGTGTATTTATTATTGAAATTTCTCTTAATTTGACCCCAGTTTGACCTCATCTGTACCTGTCTTGTTTTGTCAAAGGACAATATACCCTCAAGTGCAGTTGTCTCGTATAAGCCCCGCCCTCTCCAACGTAAACAAACCACTGATCTTTATTGACACAGACCTGACAGCAGCTTCCTGTTTCTCTCTTTCACTCTGGGAAAATGAAAAATTGGTTAAAGATTCTCTGTGTAACTTTTCTGCTAGGGCGTAGGCTGTCTGCGTGTCTCCATGGAGATGTTACTGCCTTGCCTGGAGTGCTCCACAGTATGGCTTTAATCATTCATCATCTTGCATTTATTCAGCTATGGCGTTTTTATTGCTAAAAACCTTGAATAACATGTGTTCTTACTGCGGGGTCGCCTCTCCACAGACCCTGTTGTG